GTGCTGTAATGAATTGAAATGTGCCATGCCTCGTTGAATTGTGCTGTGCTCTATTTATCGTTGTGAATCAGGTCGCTCTTGGCATCATAATCCTGACCGAACTGATCTGGATCTTAAGGTCGAGCTGCCTGGACGCATACCTCGAGCTGCTTGCAGTCGAACCGTGCGGGGCGCTCGACCAGCTCGAGCTCGAGATCTGATTCGGTTCCGTAACGGGACGAACCAAGAGACGGGGCGATTCCGAACCGACGCGAAACGCACCGAGAGTGGACGGACCGAAGCTCGGCGAACCAAAACGCCACGAGCTGCATCGAGACGAACCGAAACGATACGAACCGAGACGAAGGCCGAACCGTCCCGAATCGAAGCGAGACAAGACACGCCAGGACGAATACACGCTTCGGCTCACCATCCTGACACTGCATGGCGCCGCCTGCCTAGGGAGCCGCACTCCGAGGTGCCAGGGCCCCTCGCAAAGAAGCAGGGCCGCGATTTGGCGTAAATTATTACTAATTCGTGCTGTGTTGCGCTGTGCTGCGTCATGCTGTGTTGAACTGTGCGGTTTCCTGTTGCGTTGTGGATCAAATCATGCTTGGCACCCGAATCCTGTCCGAACTGATTTGGATCTTAAGCTCCAGCTGACTACGCGCATGGTTCGCCCAAAGCTGGCTGCAGTCGCAGCACGCGGGGCGTTCAACCAGCTCGAACTCAAGATCTGGTTCAGTTCCGAAGTGAGACGAACCGATCTGGGGGCGAATCCGAACTGAAACGAAGCGCACCTAGACGACGACAAGGCCCGCACGACACCTCCTCAAACAATGCAAAACCAGCGTTTCGCGAGAGGCATCCTCAACACATCCTGCAGAGGGAGGCTTGCACTGCAGGCGAGGCCCTGGCTCGAGGCATCCTCAACGAACCCTGCATATCGAGCGTTTCGATCTAGACATCCCCAACGCGTTCTCATGTTTGTGATTCGCCCGTGCTACCTGGACACGTGAAAATCAAAGTTTCGTTCGAGACATCCCGACACATTTTCATGTTAGAGATTCGCTTGGGCGACTTGGATCATGCGCGAAAACACGTGGGTCTCTTTCGACCCAGCGCGGAACAAGCGTGAAACCATGCGGGCCATTTTCGCCCCAGAGCGGAGCAAGCGTGAAAACAAGTGGGCCCCTTTCGCGCCAGAGCGGAACAAACATGAACACACGTGGGTTCTTTTTGCGCCAGGGCGGGACAAGCGTGAATCTACGTGGGTTCTTTTCGCCCCATCGCGGAACAAACGTGAGATGAACATGTGTGCCTTTCTCGCGCCAGCGCGGACCAAGCGTGAAACCATGTGGGTGTTGTTGTTTCGTCCCAGAGCGGAACATGCGTGAACACACGTGGGTCTTTTTCGCGTCTGAACGGTCCAAGCATGAAAACACGTGGGTTCTTTTCGCCCCAGAACGGGACAGGCGTGAGAACACGTGGGTCTTGTTCGCTGCAGGATACTTTCCCAGGAGGCTGCAGGAAGCCTCCCCAGGGCCCAGGACGGAACGTGTCAAGTTATTACACATTAGGTGTCGGTGTGTCAATGTGTTCTGGCTCTTGTGTCCCCCCCCCCACTCGTGAGGGCCAGACGACCATATGTTAGATATCCCCCCCCTGGGTGGCGTGGACACGTGTATCACACGTGGGCCCCTTTCACCTCAGAGCGGAACAAGCGTGAAAACATTTGGGTCCCTTTCGCGCCAGAGCGGAACAAGCGTGAGAACACGTGTGCCGTTCTCGCGCCAGTGCGGAACAACCGTGAACACATGTGGGTTTGTTTGTCATCCCAGAGCGGAGCAAGCGTTCAAACATGTGGATCAGTTTTGTGCCAGAGCGAAGCAAGCGTGAAACCACGAGCGCGTGGGTCCCGTTAGCGCCAGAGCGGAACAAGCGTGAAAACACGTGGGTCTTTTTCGCGCCAGAGCGGAACAAGCGTGAACACATGTGGGTTATGTCCGCCTTTGAGCGGATCAAGCGTGAACACATGTGGGTCCCTTTCGCGTCAGAGCGGGACAAGCGTGAAACCACGTGGGTCCTTTTCGCACCAGAGCGGAGCAAGCGTGAACGCACACGGGTCCTTTTCGCGTCTGAACGAAACAAGCGTGAAAACATTGGGGTCCTTTTCGCCCCAGACCTGGACGCGTGATAACGAGCGTCTCGCTCGAGACATCCTCAACAAATCCTGATGCTAGACATCTGCCTGGGCAACCTGGAGGCGTGAAGCCAAGCGTCTCGAACAAGACATCCTCAAGACCTGGGCACGTGAAAATAAGCATTTCACCTGAGACATCCTCTGAATGCTGGTCCCCAGGAGAGGAACGATGATGCTGATGAGGATGAGGATGAGGATGACGAGGATGATGAGGATGATGAGGATGATGATGATGATGATGATGATGCTGCTGCTGCTGATGATGATGATGATGATGATGATGATGATCATCATGATCATGATCATGATCATGATTATGATGATGATGACGATGATGCTGATGATTCTGATGATGATGGTGATCATGATGATGATAATGCTGCTGATGATGATGATGATGATGATGGTGATGATGCTGATGATGATGATGATGATGATGATGCTGATCATGATCTTGATCATGATGGGAGGAGGGAGGAGGGGGAGGGGGAGAGGAGGAGGAGGAGGAGGGACGCGGGGCGCTGTCTCTTCATTACTCCGACGGGAGAACCCCACATAAGAATCCTCTGGGCGAATCTGGAAAAAAACATCACCGTCGTCCTCGTGGTTGGTGAGGCGTCCTGGCTGTCTCTTCTGCGTATATTTCCTGTCGCCTTGGCGCGGGCCCCCCTTCCACTCCTTACGTTGTCCCCATCCTCGCCCCCCTGTTTGTTCCGCGCCCCGCCACCTCCTCCCCTTCCTGTTGCATGAGCGCGCATGTCGATGTTCCTCGGCGCCGTCGCCGCCACGGCCAGCACAGGCGCGTTCTCTACTGGTCACGTCGCGCAGCCGTTGGGACAACCCCGCGGGCCAGGCTGTCGGGACAACCCCGCGAGCCGTTGGCGCGCAAAACCAAGCCGTTGGGACAACCCCGCGGGTTTCGAGCGAGGCGCAGCCGCGCTCAGGCGGAAGGCAGCACGAAGCCCAGCTCTGCCGCGAGTTGCTTCGCCTCCGCCCTGGACAAAACCGCCTGAGACTTCCTCCATATTCAGGCTTGGGGAGCCCAAAAGTGACAACAGTTACTAAAGGATTCCGATGACCCGCTCGGATTACCAACATGATCTGCGGGCCCCATAGGGAGGGAACTCCCGCCTGAGACTTCCTCACAATTCACTCAGAGACGAGGCTCCCGCCTGAGACTTCCTCCGAATTCAGGGTTGGCGAGCCCAAAAGTGACGACAGTTACAAGGTTCCGATGACCCGCTCGGATTACCAACATGATCTGCGGGCCCCATAGGGAGGGGGCTCCCGCCTGAGCCTTCCTCTGAATTCACTCACAGACGAGGCTCCCGCCTGAGACTTCCTCCAAATTCATGCTTGAGGAGCCCAAAAGTGACGACAGTTACAGGATTCCGATGACCCGCTCGGATTACCAACATGATCTGCGGGCCCCATAGGGAGGGAGCTCCCGCCTGAGACTTCCTCCCAATTCACTCACAGACGAGGCTCCCGCCTGAGACTTCCTCCATTTTCAAGCCTGGGGAGCTCAAAAGTGACGACAGTTACATGATTCCGATGACCCGCTCGGATTACCAACATGATCTGCGGGCCCCATAGGGAGGGTGCTCCCGCCTGAGACTTCCTCACAATTCACTCACAGACGAGGCTCCCGCCTGAGACTTCCTCCAAATTCAGGCTTGAGGAGCCCAAAAGTGACGACAGTTACAGGGTTCCGATGACCCGCTCGGATTACCAACATGATCTGCGGGCCCCATAGGGAGGGAGCTCCCGCCTGAGACTTCCTGTCAATTCACTCACAGACGAGGCTCCCGCCTGAGACTTCCTCCATTTTCAGGCCTGGGGAGCTCAAAAGTGACGACAGTTACAGGATTCCGATGACCCGCTCGGATTACCAACATGATCTGCGGGCCCCATAGGGAGGGGGCTCCCGCCTGAGACTTCCTCACAATTTACTCAACGATGATGAGGATGAGGATGATGAGTGGTGGTGAAGATGAGTGGTGAAGAGGATGATGATTGATTGTGAGTGGTGGTGGCGATGATGATGTTTGAATGAGGATGATGCCGATGCCGATGATGATGATGATGTTCATGAGCGTGTGAGAGAGTGCGAGTGATGATGATGATGAGTATGTGAGTGACTAAGCATGTGAGAGAGCATCATCGATGATGCTGATGAGGTTGATGATGAGAGAGTGTGAGTGAGTGTGAGTGGGTGTGTGTGTGTGTGTGTGCTCCTGTTCCTGCGCGGGGTGTCCAGAGAAAACAAGAACCCCACTTTGGATGTGGGGAAAAACGAGGACCCAACACCACAGGATGGTTGGGAATTGATGTTACCTCGCTGTTTATCGCAAATGCATCCGCTGGCCCTCTGTAAGTCGCCCCCGGGGAAAGCATCTAAAAGAGAACCCTGGGCTCACGCCCTTTTCCGGGATAACGTAACCTTGGGTAAAGGGTCGGGATTGCAGAGGAGGAAAAGGTACCGACACCGTTGCGGCTACGGGTGCCGACGCAAGGACCATTTCGGGCTGTGGAGGTGCTTTGGTTTTCGGGCCGTTTCTTAGATTAAGGTCGGGGAGCCTGACGATTCGAAACCGAGGCTCGCCGTGGCCAGAAAAGCCCCTTTGTTTCTTATTCAATGTCCCTTGTGGTAGCACGATAACTGTACCCGTCCTCGTTTTCGCCTTGTTGGGCCTCCTGGGAGGCCCTCGTTGTCACGGTTGGCTTCGCCTCGAAATTCTTTTCAAAATGCGCACCGCGAGAGATCCGGGGAGTTGCGGTATAGGTATTTTTCCCCCAGGACTGGCAGCACGTGGATATGTACGAAGAGGCGGACACGAACAGCGACGGTTATCTCGACGCAGAGGAGGTGAAGCGCTTCTTTGCCCGCAGGGCCAAGGCTGCTGGGCAGGGGGAGCTCCCGCCCAGCGACGAGCTCATCGAGGACTGCATTTCCATGGTCGACAGAGATGGCGACGGCCGCATCGACCTTCACGAGTTCACCCGCCTGCTGGGAGAGTGCTTGCCGAACGCTCGCGTGGCCCGCGACAGGGAGTTCAGGACGGACGTCAGCGCTTGCAAGATGCAGTGGGACTACGAGCGGGCCAGCCGCATCTTTTCCAACGTGATGGCCGCTGCCTGGCACCGCTCGGCGCTACGCTGGCTCTCAGCGGCCGCGGCCATCACGCTGGGCGCGGCCGGCATGGAGGCCGCGCTGCTCGTGAATCCGGCGCACCCAGGCGCCGCCGAGTTCGTGGCGGTTTACGCCCTCGAGCAGCTGTTCCCGTCGCTTGTGTGGATGACGAGCGACGCGCGGCTGGTGGCCGGCAGCCTGGGGCATTGCGCCTCCGAGCTGCTGCTGAGCCACGACCCCGCCAGCGAGACTGGCGCCGCGGCGCTGCTGGCGGCGGGCCACTGCCAGGTGGTCCGCTGCATGTCGGTGGGATTCTGCATGTTCGGGCAGCTGCTCCGCATCGGAGGAAGAAGAGCCAGCATGGCCATCAACTTTCGGAGCTCCGCGCAGAGATTTCTCCGAGCGGCGCCCGGGTCCCCTGGCGGCGCCTCCTGCGGCCCTGGCCCGCTCCGCGCGACAGGGGGAGGGGGGCCCAGGCGCCGATCCAATTAATCCAGGCCTCCCTTATAGGGTCCGACTAGATGGGGTCGGAGGATCGCGCTGCATCGCAGATGCATCGCTGATGCATCTCTTTGATGCATCGGCGACGTTTGCGGTGCATCGGCGACGTTTGCGGTGCATCGGCGACGTCGGCGTGGAGAAAGGCGGGTTCCACATCGAGCCGCATCGGCGATGCGGTGCGATCCTCCGACCCCATCTGCTCTGACCCCCTCTGGGAGGCCTCCAAGAGATCCGCGCGGAGCTCCGAAAGTTTGAGTCTGTGCGGGTCTGGTCCTTCCTCTGCGCCTCTTCCAGGCGAGCGCCTCCGCGCACAGCGAGTTCGAGCGGCGCGTCCGCCGCGGCGAGGAGGCGCCCCTGTCCCCCGGCGCGCCAGAGCGTGTCGTGCGGTTGTGCGGGAGGTCGTCGGACATCTCGGCGGCGAGCCCCGGTGGGAAGAGAGGGTCAAGCAGTGGCGAAGCGTCCTGACTCGCCTGTAGGGCCACCAGGTAATGTTCAGAGTATGTGTTTGGTGGCTTGCAGGACATGTTCTTAGAACATGTCTGGCCGAGACCGTCTTGTTTCAATGCTCCGGCTTTCTGTTATAAATTTCGTGTTTTTGTGTTTGGAACACTACGTTGTTACAATATACGCGGTCGTGGTAGGCTTGTAGGAATGTTTGGACGGTCAGTGCTTGCTCAAGAGAGGGGGCAGGCCTTCTCAGAAGGCGGCGGGGCTTCTCAGAAGCCCTCGCGCCGTCTGAGAAGTCTTCTAAGCCGCATCGTAAGAAGGCCTGCCCCCTCTCACTTCCTCCCGGGCTCGCCGCCGAACATCACGTACACCACGATCGCGGGGGACGCCGGTGGCCTGTATCTCGGAGGAGGGCAAGTCGAGACAACGGGGACAAACTTTGCGTTTTTCGTCCCTCTTGAGCCTCTGGAGGCTTCTCGCCGCCACGGCCGCATAACGGCGGCGCGCCTGGCCTTTCTCGTCCTTCTTGATCCTCCTGGAGGCTTCTCGTCGCCACGGCAGGATCCGCGTCGAAGAACGAGTCAGGATGGAACCCGGGAGGGGTCTGGGGATTGATTTTGAGTGGATGTGGGCCAGGCTGGAGAGCCGCAGTTGTCTCTACCAGCCCTCCTCCGAGTATCACATCCTCCCTGTAATGAACCCCGAGTCTATGCGGGGCGTGGCCCGGCGGATAAGCCACGAGTTCAGGTACCCGCTGTTCCTGAACGTGCCTGTCGCGAAGTGGGGACAGACGCGGTTTTGGGAGCCGCTGCTGAAGGGCCATGTGACGCCAAGCTGGCTCTTGCAGGGGCACAACGGCGAGCGCGTCTTGTGCATCGAGGTGGACGGCACGGACAAGGAGGAGGGCCTCGTGTTCGGGCGGCGCAGCCACCAGGTGGGCATCAACGAGGCGGGCATGGCCTTCCGCGCCATCGCCTCCGTGGCCCTCGACAGCCTCGCCCAGAGCGGCCTGGACCGCGGCTCCGTCCCCGGGGGTTCGAAGACGGGGCCCTGCGGGACGGGGCCCTGAGGATGAGAAGGAATCCCAGTTTTACGGTCAGGAACTTTGGCTGAGCGTGTCGCGACGCGGGTTCTGGCCCACCACGCTTCGGCACGACACGCTGCTCACTCGCCAGCCCCAAGCATCAAACTCCCAGGCTTTTCCCGCCTCCCGCCAGGCTCAGCGGAGCCACGCGCTGCCCCCATGCCACGGATAGCATGTCGCCGGGGCCGCAGCCGCGACACGATCAGCTTTGTGCAGAAGTTCCCGACCGTACACTGTTTGACGCCCCTCGTCCTCGGGGCCCCGTCCCTCGGAGCCCCATCTTTGAACCGTCGGCGTCCGGCTCCTGCGCGTCTACCTCGGCGACAGCCTCGAAACGGCCCGCACTGGCGGGGGGCACGTGTACACCTGCAGGCAGCGGGTGGCCAAGCGGCGGGAAGCGGATGTGCTGATCGACAGCCACGCGCCGGTGATCCAGCGGCTGCGGCGCTGGGCGCTGGGCGCAGCCGAGCTGCACGGCGGCGTGCGGGTCGCCTCGCGGCCCGTGGTCTGCTTCGAGACCTCATGCCAGGAGCGGTTCCGCAACTTCGCGCGCCTGCTCTCCGACGTGGCAGACGTGGTGGACCAGGCCTCGAGGAAGAGCGATCTGTATGCGCAGGAACTTCGGAGGCCCGCGCGGATTCCTTGGATCGGCGCTGGACCCCCCATCCTGGCGCGCGGACCGCGCCAGGGGGCGGTGCCGGGGTCCAGCGCCGATCCCAGAAACAACCTGGGCGGGCCTTCGAATGTTTCTGTCGATGCCATATATGCCTATGTGTTGTTCCTCTCAGGTCGCGGCCATGAAGGTGACCGACGTGTGCGGGGAGCCGCCGCCCAGGGTCATCCACTACCCGACCACGGCGGAGACGGTGCACGCCGCGTACAGCCTCGCCAGGAACTCCTCCGAGGCCTGCGATCCCGCCCGTTCGCTGCTCATGTTCAGTCGGCGGTGGGGCGCGCAGGAGCCGAACAAGAAAACAGCGGCATGAGCATGACGTGTTCGGAGCTCCGCGCGGACTTCTTGGATCGGCGCTGCGCCCCCTGACCGCGCCTCCAGCGCCGATCCAAGATCTCCACGCGGACCTCCGAAAGTCTATGTTTATGCCGCTCTTTCTCGTCCTGAGGAGGTGAGGGGCTCGGCGCTGGGCTTCCAGGTGCTCTGCACCGCGGAGGTGCTGGACGACCTGCTCCGGGAGGTCCGGCAGTGGGCGCGTCGGGGCTTTTCCTCCGAGCGCATTCAGGAGGAACTCGACGGGCGGTACGACGGAGCGCTCAGGCTGATGAAGAAGGCTCTGCGCGGCGCGAGCGTCCCGCTGGAGGCGGCGGAGACAAGAGTGCCCGCGATTCGGGAATCAGAGCCGCTTGAGGAAAAAACTCATCCCATCTTGTTTCTCACCTCATCTTCACTTTCCTCGCCTTCCTCCTGCAGCTCCTCTTTCTCCGATGCCACCCTTCGAGAGAGACAGAGAGGAGGGAGGGAGGGAAGGAGGGAGGGAGGGAGGTGTGTACATGTGTGAATACATATATATATATACGCGTATGCAAATGTATATATTTGCACACATGTGTATAGCTATATGCATCGGTATGTGTGTGCGCTTATGGGCATGTATAGACACATATCACTTATGTATCCAGGGCTATGCTTACGAAGGTATGGATGTACAGATGTACGTATGGATATACGTATTTGTATATCTATGTTTGTACATATTTATGTTTGTATAGATGTATGTACGTATGTATGTATGTATGTATGTATGTATGTATGTATGTATGTATGTATGCGTGTATGTATGCATGCATTGAGGTATGCATATAAGTGCGTAGGTATGTATGTATGTGCTCATGCATGCTCGGTTGTTTGTATGTATTCATATGCATGTGTACATGTATGTGTGCACGTATGTGTGTATGTGCGTATGTAGGTGTGTATGTGTGAATGTAGGTATGCGTATGTATGTAACTATGTGTATGCAATTACTTATATATGGGTATACGTAGTGTTGTACGTGTCCATGAACGTGTGCTTGCTGTTTTTATATGTATGTCGGTAGGCAGGTCGATAGATATGTGCGGGGGTAGGTGTGTATGCACGTATGTGCGTGTGTATGTATGTATATGCGTATGCATGTATGTATGCTTGTATGTATGTGTGTACATGTACGGACATGCATGCATGTGTATGTATATGTTTTTCAGTTTTGAAAAATATACATATATATATATGTATATGCATGTGTCCGTAAAGGCTTCGCCTCCTGCCGCCAGCCCCCTCTCTATCATAATGGGATATAACAGAGTCGCGTCGGTGCGTCTCGGCGCTGCCTTGGCGCATCTGGGAACAGCATGCGGGGGCGGATAGGAGTTACCAGCGCATATTGAAACGTTGGCGTTATCGAAGACGCCTACGGCGAATCACCGCCGCCCCATGCCTTTTTGGAAGCGCCTATGTGGCCGAACGTTGAGGCCAGACCTGCCAAGCTATCGGACCATGTGTTCCCCGAATCGGTTTGGAAAGCCTTCGGGGAACACGTTGGCATCTTGAAGGTCATCTTGGCTGTGTGATGGCCATTTTGACCCTTTCGGGCCTTCTTGGAAGACGTCTTGGAGGGCTCTTGGGCCGTCCTGGAGGCCTCTTGGGGCCGTCTTGGGCCTCTTGGGCGATCTTTGGGGGCACTTGGGTCGTCTCGGGCCGTCGGAAGGCCGAAAAAAAACATGCCACAATCCTTCAACACTTATAGGAAGTCAGTGATTTTGGCCTTGGGCCTTGCTGGAGGCCCTCTTGGAGGCCTCTTGGGCCGTCTTGGGCCATCTTAGGGCCATCCTCGGCCGTCTTGGTGGGCTTCTGACCCGTCTGACGCCGTCGGAAGCAGTCTGGGGGGCCTCTCTGGGCCGACTTAGGGCCCTCTTGGAATGCTCCAGGGCCTTCTTGGAGGCCATCTTGGGCGTCTTAAAAGGCCTCGTGGGCCGTCATGGGGGCCTCTTGGGGCCATCTTGCAGGCCTCTTGGGCGATCGTTGGGCGATCTTTGGGGGCTCTTGGGCCGTCTCGGGCCGTCGGAAGGCCGAAAAGAAGCAATTGCCAAAATCCTTCAACTTGGGCCAGCTTCGAGCCAACTGCAGCCATTTTCGTGGGTTCCTGGCCCGTCTGACGCCGTCGGGAGCCGTCTTGGAGGCCTCTCTGAACCGGCTTGGGGCCCTCTTGGGGCGCTTCGGGGCCGTCTTGGAGGCCATTTTGGGCGTCTTGGAGGCCTCTTGGCCCGTCTTGGGGCCCTCTTGGGGCCGTCTTGCGGGCCTTTTTTGTGTCGTCATGGGGCCATCTTGGAGGCCTCGTGGGCGATCTTGGGGCGATCTTGGCGGCCTCTTGGGCCGTCTTGAGCCGTCGGAAGGCCGAGAAGAGGCAAATGGCAAAATCCTTCACCGCCCCAAGGAAAATCAATGATTTTGGCCTCTTTGGGCCCTCCTGTAGGACCTCTTGGAGAACTTTTGGGCCGTCTTGGGCCGTCTTGGAGGCTTCTTGGGTGAACTTGGAGGTATCTTGGACCCCCTTGGGCCGTCTTGGGGGTCATCTTGGACCATCTTTGGCGGTCTTGGAGGCCATCTTGGAGGCCATCTTGGGCCGACGTGGCCTCTTGGAGGCCATCTTGGACAGTCCTGTGGAATTTTCTGTGGAATTTTCTGCGGACGTTGAGGTCATTTGCGGGCCTGGAGCTCCCTCCCAGGACCCCTGCGGGACGCGCCGGAGCCCCATACAGGGGGAGTTCTTTTGGAAAAGAACCAAAACCAAAACCGAAATCATCTAGCACGCCAAGCACCCCTGGGGTTGAGTCAACAGGGGGTGGCAGATCGAAGACGCCTACGGCGAATCACCGCCGCCCCCTGCCTTTTTGGAAGCGCCTGTGTGGCCGAACGTTGAGGCCAGACCTGCCAAGCTATCGGACCATGTGTTCCCCGAATCGGTTTGGAAAGCCTTCGGGGAACACGTGGGTATCTTGAAGGTCCTCTTAGCCGCCTGGAGGCCATTTTGACCCTTTCGGGCCTTCTTGGAGGACGTCTTGGAGCGCTCTTGGGCTGTCTTTCGGGCCATCTTGAGCGTCTTGGAGGCCTCTTGGGCCGTCTTGGGGGCCTCTTGGGGCCGTCTTGGGCCTCTTGGGCGATCTTTGGGGGCGCTTGGGTCGTCTCGGGCCGTCGGAAGGCCGAAAGAAAGCACATGCCACAATCCTTCAAAAACTCATCGGACAATACATGGTTTTGGCCTTTGCGGGCCTTGCTGGAGGCCCTCTTGGAGGCCTCTTGGGCCGTCTTGGGCCATCTTAGGGCCATCTTCGGCCGTCTTGGTGGGCCCCTGGCCCGTCCGACGCCGTCGGAAGCCGTTTGGGGGGCCTCTCTGGGCCGACTTGGGGCCCTTTTGGAATGCTTCAGGGCCGCCTTGGAGGCCATCTTGGGTGTCTTGAAAGGCCTCCTGGGCCGTCTTGGGGGCCTCTTGGGGCCGTCTTGGGGGCCTCTAGGGCCGTTCTGGGGCCATCTTGGAGGCCTCTTGGGCGATCTTTCGGCGATCTTTGGGGGCCCTTGGGCCGTCTCGGGCCGTCGGAAGGCCGAAAAGAAGCAAATGTCAAAATCCTTCACAAACTCATGGGGAAATGCATGTATTGGGGATTTTCTGGCCTTCCTGGAGGCCCTCTTGGAGGCCTCTTGGGCCGTCTTGGGCCAGCTTCGAGCCAACTTCGGCCATCTTGGTGGGCTCCTGGCCCGTCCGACGCCGGCGGAAGCCGTTCGGGGAGCCTTTCTGGGCCGACTTGGGGCCTCTTGGGGCGCTTCGGGGCCGTCTTGGAGGCCATCTTGGGCGTCTTGGAGGCCTCTGGGTCGTCTTTGTGCCCTCTTGGAGCCGTCTTGGGGGCCTCTTGGGCAGTCCTGAGGCCATCTTGGAGGCCTCTTGGGAGCTGTGGGGGCGATCTTGGTGGTCTCTTGGGCCGTCTTGGGTCGTCGGAAAGCCGAGAAGAAGCGAATGCCAAAATCCTTCAAAAACTCACTGGAAATCAATGATGTTGGCCTCTTTGGGCCCTCCTGGAGGATCTCTTGGAGGCCTCTGGGGGGCCTCTTGGGCCGTCTTGGGCCGTTTTGGACTGTCTTGGGCCGTCTTGGAGGCCGTCTTGGACCATCTTGGGCGAACTTGCAGGCCATCTTGAACAATGGAGGCCATCTTGGGCCAACATGGCCATCTTGGAGGCCATCTTGAGCCGTCTTGGAGAATTTTGCGTGGGGCTGAGGTGGTTTACGCGGCCTTCCGG